CCAGCCTGTCAAGGTCCCTCTGGATGGCAGAGGGACCACCGTGGCAGGTCCCCTGCTCTTGGTGTTGCTGTAGAATGCTGAACAGCAAACGTGACAAATCAGGGTGTCACCAAAGCTCTTTAAAGGTGGAACATTTGCCAGGATACGTAGAACAGGTAACTTCAGCAGCTAGCAGGCTTTGAGTGGGTTATATTATAGAATATGGTGTGTAAGATGCTGAATTATAAGGAGGTATAATATACAGAGTGATACATTGGGAGTTGGAAGAGAATACTTTAATACTCTTGGGGAAAATGAAACAGCATCCTTCTGTTACATGTATTATTTTATTTTTTCCTTTACCCACAGGGGATCTTTGGGGCCCTTTGGTGCTTTGTGTCTCACTTGCACTGTAAGTACTTGGAGTGGGTTTTAGAGTCTTTTACATGGCAGAGATGAGAAATGTAAAATTTCTGGCTACTTGTCTTGGGATCAAGTTCACCTGATCCTTCTCTGCTCTTCTGCAAACTCTGGTTAGCTTGTTGTATGAAATGTATTTCTGACACTTCAAGCCCGTTAGGACCTCTCTCCTTTCAATTTAGGATTTAAGGGTGGACTTTTTCTGGTCCACTGTCTTAAGAGTGATTTTACTGAGAGGTACCACGTGTCACATTGTCCTTGATTCTAATGTGTTTGGCTGACTTGGGCTGCAGTGAACACACTGACTTTGGGTGACTTGAGCTGCATCCTGGAGAAGCGATGGGAAAAGAGAGGCTGATGTAGGAAATCAGAGCTGGGAGATGGTGGTGGCTGCCACGAGTTCCTGGTGCTCCCCTGGAGCGTTTGTGTGCGGATCTGCCTGGGGTAGGAGGGAAATGTTGGTGATACCAACTAAGTGAGGCACTGAATGTACAGAAACCATTGAGTAAAATGTTGGTAAAGCCTTAGCAAAAGTACACAGTGTAATTTAAATGTTTGAATGAATGCAGGCTCCCTTTTCCAGGCTGTGTTGCTTGTGTCCTGCAGTTACTATAAACTGTCTGTAAGGCTTTTGTGTTTTACCCTGCACTCGTTGCCTAGGTCACCAGACTTTTGGTACTTTAGTTTTCATATTTTAGCCTCTTGTCTGTGGTTTTATTCTCCTCTGTATGCTTACACAGTCCTCAAAACAAGTAAACAAACAGACTGAAATGCCCTCAATGGAGCCACAACCGTGTTCCTTTCCTGTGCAAAAGTGAGGATACAACGAAAAATGACAGATGAGGATAATTGGTCTGCAGCCTCACTGGGGATCAGTGCTTTGGGCTCCTGTTCTGTCATCTACTCTAGGTGTGTGAAAACTCAGTCACTGATTGCAAATGACACCTTTTGTCTGTTGCCTACAACAGGATGCTTCAGGGTGGATCTGCAGACAGTAAAGACGATGGAGGACCCCAGTTTGCTGAGGTCTTTGTCATCATCTGGTTCGGTGCAGTTGTCATCACGCTAAATTCCAAGCTGCTCGGAGGAACCATGTGAGTGCAGGTTCATTTAGTAGCCGTGGGGGGGGTTTCTGCAGGGCTTTGCTTTGACTCCTTTGTCCCCATTTCTGTCTCTCCTTTCCAGATCTTTTTTTCAGAGCCTGTGTGTTCTGGGTTACTGTGTCCTGCCCCTGACGGTAGCGATGCTGGTGTGCAGGCTGGTGCTGCTGGCGGGTTCTGGGACTGTCAGCTTCATCATTCGTCTGATCGTAGTCGTAGCTATGTTTGGTTGGTCGACGTTAGGTGAGTACCTCCTTGTGTTATAACACTGTTGTGTGCAGTGAATGGTGAGATGCTTTAGGAGGTAGATCTGCTTGTGTTCTGTTGGGTAGAGACGATGGGAGTTGTAGTGGAAGGTGTTTCTTAGGCTGCTGGAATACTGTAGAAACAGTTCTTCCAATCCTTGTGTTGGCAGAGATTCACCCTCTGCCTGAGCTGATGTTGATTGTCGTGGTCATATACAAATTGCCTTTGGCAGAAGGACAATGATCTAACATTAAACCCCACGTGAGACTAGTGGGTATTTTATTCTGTGATCTGTGTTATAAATACTACTAGAAAATGCTGATTTCTTACAGAAGCATTTGCATTGTTCCTCCTGTTCTTAATCTGTACATCTGACTCTTGTCACAGAGTGTCACTCAGCGTTTATCTTTGTCTGGTGCAGTTTTAATTGGTGTTTAATGACCACTGGTATTGAGTGGTGGATTAATCTGTTTTCTCTTTCGACATAATGATAATGCAGATCTAATTCCAAATTGTTAATGTCTGCAGTGGATCTTGGACTTCCAGTTTGCTGCTGCTCACATTTCAGGTCTTTTTCTTTTTCACCAGCATCTACAGCTTTCCTGGCAGACAGTCAGCCTCCGAACCGCAAGGCCCTTGTCGTGTACCCCATCTTCCTCTTCTACTTTGTTATCAGCTGGATGATTCTCACCTTTACACCTCAGTGATCTCCGCTTAGAAGGGAAGAGACTGTAACACAGACTGAAGTTTTTTCATGACTGCTGCAGTTAATCGTTGGCTTTATCTCTTTCTAATTTATATATATAGAGAGATATTGTAAAAAGGCGGGTCATGGGATAAAGCCAGAGAACTGCAAAAATTGGTTGTTTGTGTGTCGCTCTTTCTGAAAGATGCAGAGGTCCAGCTGCTGAAGGGTTTTTTGTTTAGCCCTGCTCTTTAGCTGTGTTAAAAAGTGCCCGCTGTGACAGGGAGTATTCCGCCTCAGAAACAGAGTGGGACATCCTGGAATTCCAAGACGTTGGATAGATGAAGATGAAGTTACAGGATCACAGGACTTGGCAGAATTCCTGCCTGTGCTTGGATTCTCGCTGAAGATGGATATGCCTTATGGAATAATAGGACTTCTTTGCTGTTATGTGTTGGGTAGGGAAGAAACGTGTTTGACTCCTGTTCTTTTCCATTCACTTAGAGTGGTGGGATGTATATAAAGTGCGTTACAGGACTGTGAGCTTTCACTTTGAAATGGGATTTCAGGAAAATACAAGTTGGGTCCATTTTGCAGTTAATTGGAGCTGGGTGGAAGGGTTCTGCCTTTGCTCACGTTCATGCGTCCTGTATTTATGTTTCATCCCTTCATGGCAAGAAAGCGTGTGTCAGCCAAATGCCTTCAGCACCATAGTTACACTGACTGACCCCTGTGTCGCGTGAGAGGGACTGTGTTTACACTGGATAGTTACAAATCTTTTTGTGTGACTATAGATTAGAGAGTTAACTGTCCTGGAGAAACAGTCAGGACTGGTTTTCAACAGGAATTTCGCTGTCACGATGAGTATCGAGAATGGAAAGTTGTCTGGAGAGTACCAAGTGTGTGTGTGTGTGTGTGTGTATGTTTGGGGAGGGGGAAAAAAAAGGCTGAGTTTTTGATATATGAAGATGTTTGGGTGCTGACATACCAAACCAGGACTTATGCCTGAAAGATTTAAAATGTGTTGGAGGAAGGAAACTGAAGTCTTGATGCAGGTGGTGGCTGCTCTGAAGTAGAATCTGAATTCTGATCTTAACTGCTTGTGACTTTTCGTTTGGTTGTTTACATGGAGAGCGTTCCAATGTAAATGCATTTGAATTTGCATATTGTTTCTTTGTACTTATAAGGAGATGTGAGAAACTTTTCTGTAATTTTTGGGGGTTTTTGTTTTGGGTTTTTTTTTGCTTAATACTTATAAAAGGGGAGGGATTTCTCCATTCCCTGTAGGCACACTGACGTACCTTGCCTGGAGACCCATCGCAGCGCACAAGGCGCTGTTTCTATTTCAGCAAAGGGATTGCAACCTGGGGAACTGCTGTTTGGAAACTGTACAGAAACTATTTATGTTGTCCATTATTTCCAGTAAGGGAGAGCTTTGAAACAACTGGAGGTGAAACAAGCTGCTGTTAAAATGTCACTTTTCCTGAAAATGAACATCGTATTTCCTTTTTCCCGATAGACCTGAAATCGATGTACGCGGGTCCTGCCGAGGTGTAAATATGCATAATTTATATTTCTATACAAAAGTCTGCTGTAAACACTAAGTATTTGGTGGCTGGGGTGGGAATTTCTAAACGTGCAGATTAAAAGTCCATTTTTGCATTTTGAGGAGCGTGGAGGAAGGAAAGGTCAGTGGCTCTCTGCAGGGAGCAGCTTTGCCGCAGAGCAGTCGCTGTCGGCGTGTGTGTGCGAAGCCGAGGGCTGTCCCTGCTCCTTCCTTACCCATCCCTGGCTGCTCCGAGGTGCTGCCAGAGCACCTGCAGAGCTTCGTGTGTGTTGGGAATGGGGAATTCTTCACCTGCCATTAAATTATTACTGGTATGGAATGTGATTTTTCTTTTTAAGTGCAGAGTTTTCCATTCATTTGAACATTTGCTTTATGAAGCTGAAAAGAAATTCTCAAGGGAAGTAGCGAAGCTGTCGGTGGCTGCAGGCGGATTCTTTGGGCCAGATCTTTCCTGCTGCAGCACCAGGATTTAACCATACTTTTAGACAAATCCTTGGAATTCCAGCTCTGTAATTCTTGTGATTTAAGCTGATATTATATCCGAAACAATTGTAATAACATTTAATTGATCCAGTATCTTTTTGAAAAGGGAGATGATGATTTTTAAGTGGAATTAAAATCCCAGCTTTTTCCTTGATTGTTTTTGACTTGGATGTTCGTCTCGTGATTGATTGTTCTCTATCATTGCTCTTGGCTTATACAAGAGAGAGAAAAATTATTTTTATATTAACTAAATTTACTTTTCAATTGGTCACTGAAGTTTTTTTGTCAAGAGGTGTTTTTAATCTGAACGAATAGGCAGAAATACACTGGTTGTGGTGCAGGTGTGACTGGTTCTTTGACTCATGGCGGTTCTTTAGCGTGGAATCCATCATTGTCTAAAGCTGCAAACTCTTTAAGCGGGTTTATGTCACTAACGGTGTAACTCCCTCAGGTTTTGGCTGACAGGATGCAGGTAGGAAACTAGAATTTCTGAGTTTTGTGCCTCCAGTTGAATAAAGTTACGTGTCTTCTGTATGGTGGTGGTATGTTTACTCTAGCAGAGAGCAGAGGACGTTAATGTCCTCGGCCAGGAGTTCTGGTTGCTGCAGCTCCTTCGCCTTTCAGCTCTCCCCGGTGTGTGACGTGCTCCATGCCAGTCGCTCAGAAGCACGCAGCGTATCTTGGCAAAAATAATTTGCCCACCACGATGTTATAATCAGTTCTGGAAGAGCTTCACCAGGAGAGGCTTGGCCTTTCAACTTGAAGATGATGATCTACTGAAAAAACTTGGCCCTTTTTATCAGTAGAATATAGTTGTTGAGAAAGGCAGAGAGAGCAAGTGTTGACACCACTGGAAATGAGCATCAGATGGTTTGAAGATGAACTGTCTTGTGTGACCTTGGAAAATTCAGCAGCCAAAAGTGGAGTTTGTTCCTCAGCCCAGTTTGGATGTTCTGTAGAGCCACTGCTCTTGCTGAATCGGCTCATCCCTCAGCAGACAGGTGGTTCCCAGAATGAACGAGATGGGGACACATTAAAGTACGGTTGGAAAAATTCAGTTTTAGGCAAGTGAAATATTTTGAGCTTATTTGATACTCACAGACTGCCTAGAATCCATGATGATGATAGTCCTTTGGAATGATGGTGTTACACGAGATGGCTGAGAGTGCCTGTTCACTGGCTGGTACTTCAGCTTGTTCAGCTGCTTATATGGCGTGTTCCTACAAAGATGGGAGCAGGTAAGTGATCCTCGTAACCACAACCTGTATTTTTAATTAGTTCTGGAAATGTGTGTGATAACTGCTCTCTGCAGGGAGCAGCTTTGCCGCAGAGCAGTTGCTGTCGGTGCGTGTGTGCGAAGCCGAGGGCTGTCCCTGCCCCTTCCTTACCCATCCCTGGCTGCTCCAAGGTGCTGCCAGAGCACCTGCAGAGGAAAAGCAGATGTCTTGCCTTTAATGAAGTGTTTTAACTCTTGTGTAGAGGAAGCAGATGATTTTCTGATGCATAAACCAGGCTCCTTCCTACTAAGACTTTTTAATACTGTTTATCAACTGAAGTTGTTGTTATGTGTTTGAATCTGAATTTGATTTTCATCCATTTAATATCAATGAAAATAATTTTACTTGATGATTTTTAAGTGGAATTAAAATCCCAGCTTTTTCCTTGCTTGTTTTTGACTTGGATGTTCGTCTCGTGGTTGTTTGTTCTCTATCATTGCTCTTGGCTTATACAAGAGAGAGAAAAATTATTTTTATATTAACTAAATTTACTTTTCAATTGGTCACTGAAGTTTTTTTGTCAAGAGGTGTTTTTAATCTGAACGAATAGGCAGAAATACACTGGTTGTGGTGCAGGTGTGACTGGTTCTTTGACTCATGGCGGTTCTTTAGCGTGGAATCCATCATTGTCTAAAGCTGCAAACTCTTTAAGCGGGTTTATGTCACTAACGGTGTAACTCCCTCAGGTTTTGGCTGACAGGATGCAGGTAGGAAACTAGAATTTCTGAGTTTTGTGCCTCCAGTTGAATAAAGTTACGTGTCTTCTGTATGGTGGTGGTATGTTTACTCTAGCAGAGAGCAGAGGACGTTAATGTCCTCGGCCAGGAGTTCTGGTTGCTGCAGCTCCTTCGCCTTTCAGCTCTCCCCGGTGTGTGACGTGCTCCATGCCAGTCGCTCAGAAGCACGCAGCGTATCTTGGCAAAAATAATTTGCCCACCACGATGTTATAATCAGTTCTGGAAGAGCTTCACCAGGAGAGGCTTGGCCTTTCAACTTGAAGATGATGATCTACTGAAAAAACTTGGCCCTTTTTATCAGTAGAATATAGTTGTTGAGAAAGGCAGAGAGAGCAAGTGTTGACACCACTGGAAATGAGCATCAGATGGTTTGAAGATGAACTGTCTTGTGTGACCTTGGAAAATTCAGCAGCCAAAAGTGGAGTTTGTTCCTCAGCCCAGTTTGGATGTTCTGTAGAGCCACTGCTCTTGCTGAATCGGCTCATCCCTCAGCAGACAGGTGGTTCCCAGAATGAACGAGATGGGGACACATTAAAGTACGGTTGGAAAAATTCAGTTTTAGGCAAGTGAAATATTTTGAGCTTATTTGATACTCACAGACTGCCTAGAATCCATGATGATGATAGTCCTTTGGAATGATGGTGTTACACGAGATGGCTGAGAGTGCCTGTTCACTGGCTGGTACTTCAGCTTGTTCAGCTGCTTATATGGCGTGTTCCTACAAAGATGGGAGCAGGTAAGTGATCCTCGTAACCACAACCTGTATTTTTAATTAGTTCTGGAAATGTGTGTGATAACTGCTATGCTTTCCAAGGGGAAAAAGCCTCTTCCTTCTTGTTTAAAGCTGGCTGAGGGAAGTGTAGCAGGGGAAAAGCAGATGTCTTGCCTTTAATGAAGTGTTTTAACTCTTGTGTAGAGGAAGCAGATGATTTTCTGATGCATAAACCAGGCTCCTTCC